TTAAATGTGAGAAGGTGTATACGAACCCTGAGTTGGGCCCCCTTTCTTTACTTTTCTTACCCCACACACACACACACAAACCCAGTAGTTCCGGCCCTGTGATTAGTGTCTGGCACTACGCGATTGAGATGATCCATTCGGGACGAACTTGAACAAAGAAAAGTTACTAGTCGCTTGACAGTTCCTCCGTCAAGGTAAACTGCCTACTTCGTCCATACATAAATTCGCCGGTAAACAACACGTGAAAACTGTCTCAACTTTTCCTTCACTCTCTCCTATCTGAATGACGGGGAAGCCAGTAGTGGTGGGAAACTTGTCTTACCTAGTTACCTGTAAATTTATATCAGACGAATAAATCAAGACGAATCAGCTACTAAGGTTGCCAGAAAAGATACCGAGGATTGATGGTCTATCCGTCATATGGTTTTCGTTCCATATTCATTGACATAAATCCACCAGTTTCTCGTCTTAGATGGCAATCCGTAACTGTCTTGTATCAGTCCAGTCGACGTGTTTTGCACTTCGAACGTATCATCACCAATGCCATTGCCGGCAATGCAATGAATAATGCATACAATTAACCACATGCAATGAGGCACCTTAAAAAGCGGTGAGACTTCGGATTCTTTGCTTTGATATTCTTTGCTTTCTCAATTGAATAAAATTGTTTAGTTGCTTACCTTTCACAGGCATTTTCTGCTTATGGCATTTTCTACATTTCTAAACATATAGATGTCACAAAAATTCTATGAAATACTGTATGCCACTCGTCGATCTCGTGTACGTCACTTGCAGCCGCAGTGCCAGGTTTGCGGTTCAGTCACCTGCGTGCGGAAAGCTGACTTGCGTAGAGAAAGAGCTTTCATGCAAAAATTAGGCCTTGCTCTGAGTTTTTATTATTGTTACTAAAGTAATATTTTAACAGGAATTCGAAGCTTCGATCACATACGTGGTGTTCAGGAAGGTCCTACAAATACATTACAATACGTCAATAGCTAATACATTATAAAAAAATAAATATATAAACTAAGAGATTACAAAATAAAGTAGTCACCCTGCAGTGTAATTATAAGGTCCAATTTAAAATCTATTTATTTACAAATTGTTCTTGATATAATGTTTAAAAGTTAAAAGGCAATCGTTTTCTCGAGTAGAATTGGGTAAATTGTTCCAATCCTTAATTGCTTAAAAATCTATAAAGTCCTTTGTTGGTCCCAATTACATTTAATCAGTGCAGACAGACACACATCGTTGCATCTTCTACTGTCATGATTGTGAATGTCTCTGTTACATGTAACGCATCCAAATCTATATCAATATGGCCATGTAAATATACTTGAAAGCAATTGTGAACCAGGCTGTGAAGCAAGCGAAGTTCCTCCAATGGTTTCCCTCCCACTTGCTGTAATTAATCCTCCGTCTTGCCAGCTTTACTCGTCAGTTACAGCCTATACCTCGTTAAATCGCCATTTCGGGACTAATTAGTCCAGTTCCAAGCCGTGCGGCCAGAAGAGGGACTGGACTAGGGACTAATACGATAGTCGTTTGATAATTCGTCTTATATGACTATGTATTAAATCGTACGGACGAATCATCCGTCAAGGCTAATTGTTTGAGTGTTCGTCTAATCAGTCAGATAGTTTGCGCTGCAGAATTAAAGGTCTCGTCATGTTAACAGTCATATGCATATCTACTAGGTGATCGACTTATTGGCGTATCTCGCTAACGTCTGTATAGGTCGCGACAATTAAATTTAATTCGCTATTTACTGTACTAATAAAAAATTATTCTAAATACTAATAAGCATTCAAAAACTCATTAATAATTCACGAGGAAAACACAAAGAAAATCATAAGCGTGTCGTTGTGACGTCGTATCTTTATATGTGATAGAGATTTACATAAACTTTTAACTTTGATTTTCTCGACTTACACGTGTTTTTCGAAAATTACTTCGCCAATGAACTTACTAGATCGATCATTTTTGAAGTACTATTTAAAAGATTCATAGTGCGTGTTTTATCAGACCTAAAGGCTTCGCCTCGTATCTTTATATCTGATAAAACACTGCTGCGAATTTTTTTGAATAGGGCCTAGTACTTAAAAAACTCATTATAATAATTCATTAGGAAAAGACAAAGGAAATCACAACCGTGTCGATGGTTTTATATGCGATAAAAAATCATGTTCATTTGCATAAACTTTAGCTGTGATTTTCTCGGCTTAGACAACGTTTATTTTTAAAATTACTTCGCCAATGAACTCTTTAGATGGGTAGTTTTTAAGCCATTTAAAAACGCTCGTATAGTCCGTGCTTTATCAGCTATAAAACACTCGAGCTGCGCTCTCGTGTTTTAAATAGTATACATATAAAAACTTACCATGCATCAGTGAAGTTCACTTTAATAATACATCTATTAATTCTATTAATACATCTATTAAATCTAGCTATAAGGAGAGGTCATCGATTTTATATTCTGCGAAATGACGACTAGCAACTCTGTAGATTGGCAATCGACGAAAAAGACAGTTCAAGAAAGAAGCTGTCACATGTTGAACAATCCGTTTATGAGTGATATAAAATTCACATGTGAAGATTCAGCGAAGTCATTTTATGCACACAAGTATGTGTTGGGCACAAGCAGTGCTGTATTTCATGCGATGTTCTACGGCGATTTGGCCGAAACGAAGCCGGTTGTTCATTTCGGCGACACGGATGAAGAAAATCTTGAGCAATTTCTGTGCTTTCTCTACACAGATAAATGTGATTTGACTGTGGACAATGTTGTATCTGTGATGTACCTCTCAAAGAAATACATAGTGTCTTCTCTCACTGAAAAATGTGTGCAAATCATGGAAAAAGGCTTAAACGTTGAGAATGTTCTTAGAATTTTGGAACTGGCAATATATTTTGACGAGGGTGAGCTGGAGATGAAATGTTGGCATCTTGTCGAGTCGCGTACCGCAGACGTGGCCACCACAGAAGCATTCAATAACATCAGTCAAAAGACGCTGGCCTGTGTACTAAAGCGAGACCACCTGAGCATACCAGAAGTTCAACTATTTCAAGCGGTGTTGAGGTGGTGTGATGAACGGTGTTCAAAAAAACAATTAAAAGTGTCGGGGGAGAACAGATGAGCTGTTCTTAAAGATGCTGTTTACGACATTGCATACCTTTCAATGTCCCAAGAAGATTTTGCAAAGCATGTTCATTTGTCTGGGTTGCTTTCAGCTGATGAAATGGTGTCCGTTTATGGCAGATTGACTAGGATAGAGCTGCCTTGTGTAAAATGGAAAAAGAGAAAACAAAAAGGTTTCGAGAGAATTGCACGTTTCCTGTCATCGAATGTAAAGGATCCCGTTTCATGGTGGCAGTACTTTGGAAACCCGGACTGCCTTTCATTCTCTGTGAACAGGAAGTCACTGTTTCATGGTGTTCGCTTGTTTGGTGACAAGAAAGGTAGTCAATATGATGTGGTGCTTCAGCTTGACGGATCCGAATTAGCAAATGGCAGTTTTACTTCAAAGATTGATAAAGATGGTGTTGCTGGATTTGATGTCAGGTTATCATCGCCAGTTACTGTTGAGAAGAGCAGCACTGTGACAATCTCAGCCACAATCTCAGGGTCTATATCGTGTTATGGAGAAAATGGTATGGCTAAGGTAGAGAATGGGGAGTTAAATGTTTCATTTTACAACGCAAGTGCCAAGAGCACAAATGGAACTGGTCCTTTAACGGGTCAGTTTTATGAAATATTCATCTCACATGAAGAATCTTGAAATAATTAAAAATGTTGTCAATGCAGTTAATATTTGCACATTATGCCAATACAATTGAGCTGAATCTAATGAATATGTCTATAAAACAGCAAATTGCATCGTGTAAGATGGCATTTGGGTTCTTAGTCAACACTTGAAGTCTAAGAGTTTTTAGATGCACTTTTTGATATCATGTTTCTCATCCCCACCTACATGGGATTTATCTGCCGCACGAAAAGTTTTCATTATTTTTGAAAAATAGGCTTAACAAAACACCAAATTGATCTCCAGATCAAAGTCTTATTGCTGCATTCCGCAAGTACAACTCAAATTGTATCTTTCTAAAGATATTACTCGCCATGTCAACAACCCTGGGAACGAGGATGATCTTGACATGTGATGCTCTTCTGATTTGTTTCCCATTTCCTGTGTTGCAAAAGAATCTGTTCGCATGGTTTTACTGCTTTTTTGAAAAGATAAATCATGCATATTCATGTTTTATAATGATAATTTATGTGTAGAAATATACTGTAGTGTAGGACGTATTAAATTAAAATGAATTATACACCGATTTACTTCAGATTTTTATGGGGGTTTTACTGGGTCAAGGAAATTATTGACAAGCAGAATTCAAGTACAAAAAATAATGAAAAAATCCCGCTCCAAATTTTTGAAAATTGTGGACGAGAAACATGATATCAATTTTCATTGGCCTAATTGGGATGCAATAACTTGTATTTTTCAAGTAGTTGCATCCCTATCAATCTGAAGCTTTCTGTTTTGTTTTATACTTTTTAAAAATTGTAGTATATTATTTTCAGTATATTATTATGTACATGTTGTGAAATTGTTTGTCTCTAACTGCTCAATAAAGTACTAGAAGTAGTCTGTCTATCTGGTGACATATCTGAATCAATCACCATCTCTTCTGTACCATCGAGACGTTCATTTGACAATGGAGTGATTATTAGACCACCTAAATCTACATTTTTGCCTTCTTTGTCCTACAAAAGATAATTTATCAAGATCATTTATCAAGATAAAATTAATATATCATTGTAATTTGAAATAATACTTAGCCACTGGATTGTGCAATTAGTAATACATATATTTATACATACAATTCCATTAAGCCATAATGAACCCTACATGTACTTTATTATTTTACTCTGTTTAATATCAGAAATGGTGAAAGAGCTTTGTGGTTAATCACTTAATGGGTTAACCATGCTGTCAGCCCATCTCACTTGTTAACCCATTAAGTGATATCTGTCCTCACACACCTTACTGTATTTTATTATTTTACTAATCAAGTGGCTTTAAAGTGGTTGCCATTAATGGTTAAATAATACACATCTTGTTATTTTAAAATTAATGTAAAGATGAATCCTTGAAAAACTTACAGCTTTGTAATCGAGGAACATTTGTTTGAACATTATGAAATCTGAAAAGCTAAGTAACATGTCAAATATGTCTCCTCCAATTTGATCTTTTCTTGACCTGAAAGTTAAGTATGGCCATATTAAACTATCAGTCCAGTGTGATCAAAAGCTGAACCCATTTAAAGAATGATATACTGGTGATTCCTTAAAAAACTTCGTGCTTTGCAGATACTGTCAGTTACTTACTGCAATGATGTCATAAATTCTTCCATGGAAAAATCTGGCATTCTTTGCTTTAAACATTCCTCAAGGTGTTTCTCTATTAGATTTGTCTGAAAAATGGATTGTGATAAGAAACAAATTATATAAATGGAAATGTAACAGGAACGAATATGTATGCTCAGTATATATAGTTATAGTAAAAGGTTATGGTATGCAATGTAACAGGAACGAATATGTATGCTCAGTATATATAATTATAGTAGAAGGTTATGGTATGCTAGTGCTTGAATGCAAGTCTAATTTTCAATGTTTTTTTTTTAAATATAGTATTGAGTGCTAAAGTTGATTGAACATTAAAAATTTGTATTTTCTGACTGAACAATGACCAACCTTGATTTAACCATGGCTGACAGGGCTTGACTTATAAACTTTACTTAAAGTGTGTACCACTGTCAGAATGACACTTACATATTGAGTAAAAATATCTGTGTATACTAATTTGTTTTCTTCCACATCTTCAAAATGGTGGTAATGTTTCTCCATGAATTCATTCTGTAGTTCTTGAAATGTGTCCTCTGAAAGTAATCCAAATAGACCTTTGTAAATGTATACAATTAACTACAGTATTGAATTGTTGATAACGATTAAAACATTGATTATGAACTGATATGTGCATTATGTGAAATATTTACTGTACCCATGATGATGTCTTCGATATGACCAATTGTCACATCAAATTTCTTATCAGACCGACTTGATCTAAATTGAATTAAAACGATGACAAAATTTGTTTATATAATTTATTTACCAGATGATATCCACAGGATACCAGATTTTAAATTTTGATACTGGACATCACAAACATAGTATACACATAGACTTCTTTGTTTATATTTTATTATTAACCATGTCTGGTTTTAAAGATTTTAATATACTCTTTTTTGGCAATTGCAAACTTGTTTTGTCTTAATTGTTTGGTTACTACTCATCTAATATATCAAAATATGGGATACCAGATTCCAAGTTATACAGTAAGTATCCCATTGGATAGTGCTAAGAATTTCAATGTCGAACCCTAGTGATGTGTTCATCCATACATCTTATATTCTATAGACTGCATATTCTCTATTTTGTATCATGCAACCGAGATATTGGGTGCGCAATTTTGATTCTTAATTTCTATCTATTTTCTATTAAATTTCTCAAATCTCTGTACGCAATTGACCATTTGCATAATAGACTAAATTTTGATTTATAGATAGACTAAATTTTGATCAAGCTGTGATGAAATTTTTGTCTAGACTTGTTTAGATCAAAATTTTGTCTATTACGCAAATGGTCAATTGCAAACTTTCCAGTCAGGCATATTCTTAGGCCACATGCATCCACATTTATCTGATAACTCAGTATCATGTAAGCATATTGACCAGTCTAAGGGGGAACAACATTTGCACTGATGGAGCCACTGTGCATACATAAAGCTACTATCTATCTATCTACAATCTAACAGGGATCAATTGGAGTACACAGTTCTCAAACACAATTAGCACACAGGGTATCAAACTGCCGCGTTTGTAAAGAAATCTCATTTTAGGATATCCCACCTTTGGACAATCTTAACGGTTGGTGCCGGTACAATGATAACAAAAACAGCAGCGGTATATAGGAGAAACAACTAACTGAAAAACAGAACTTTGTTCAAAACGCTGAATATTTTTCAGCTAGTTTTATCTTAGTTTTATATACATACCACTGTTGTTTATTCAATATTGGACAATCCCACAAAAATGCGACCCTTTTAATTAATAACTAACTTGTGTGGGATTTCATACTTCAATTTATCCATGGGGTCCCATATTTGGATATATTATGAAGGAGTGACAATTGTTTATATTTCATGCTTGTCTGTCACTTTTAAAGTGTGACAGACAGACGTGACTCGTTTATAGAATTAACTTATTAAGTAAAAAAACACACCTTCCGATTGCTAAATCCTCTTCAAGATCTAGAGATCTTATCCCTAAAGAAGGCGTCGACGATAAATCAATGATAAAATACGAAATAACACAATAAAAAGTATAAAATATGAAAAACAACAACAAAAACAACTCACCTCTGCGCGCCATCTTGTGGCGTTGGCGTCCAGCGACGAACGTGACCCGATATTTAGTATCGGATTACATCGGAGATACATCGCCCAAAGCCGGAAAAAGCTAACAACCACTGATCTCAGAACTATTACCGGATATATGGGAAGAAAATTTGGTGTTTAAATTCAGTTTCGGAATCAATAAAAGTATCTTTTCTTACGATACGTGAAAGGTTCATCAATACTAAACACTTTTAATAAATTCTAGAACTTTTTAAACAATAAATACCAAATAACGTGTCTAACGTGACTTTGGTAACTTTGGTCGTTTATGCAAAACAGATAAACTAAATTCAGTCATAATTTATAGATCAGTGGATGAAGACCAGCCGGCCGAAACATAACAAACGAAATTACAAGAACTGTGGCATTCATTTGGATTTCTGGCTAATTTTTAAGGTATTTTATAGGTTTTTGTGTTATAATAAAGTAATTTATCCGTACTGCTATCTCTTTTGTCCTGTTTTGAAGGTTTAGTTGCAAAATCTAGCTGAAATTTTGGAAGATTTTCTGACATTCCGTGTTCGCCAATTCAGCTGAATGTTGGTACAATATTTTCATTCCAAGCTTCTAGCGTTGTCAATGGCATAGGCACGCGATTAATAAAAATAATCCAATGATTAACAACATCAAAGGTTTAATAGAAGGAGAGAGTGGGACGTATATGTTGAAATGAACTCCATGTAGTTTATTTCAAATATATATATAATTTAAGAGAAAAATGTTCCAAGCAGCGTGATATCAAATTTGGAAAATAAACAAAAATCGACGGACAATATGTTTCTCATGATATTATACGTGATATTTGCCAAGGCAACTTGTGGGTATCAACATTTTTTATAGTTTTAACATTCACACAAATATTGCATGGTAATATATAAATGTAGTAATATATTTAGCAATGTGTGTCATGTGATAGATTTAGGCTTAAATTTGTACAAATATCGGTAGTTAAGTCTCTGTCATCACTCTTTTAAGGCTGCTCGATACCCTTTTAAGTTAGCTCTATATAATTCTCTAAAATTTTAGGTATTGTCATGCCCAAAGGAAGTTAGGCATGCTTTATATTTGCTGTGTTTGTTTGTTGGTCTTTTAGTTTGTCAGCCTGTAAAGGCCTGTTTACACCTGCAATTTTTGCAGCGATTTCTAGTGCGATTTTCTCCGTCTGATGCATGTGAACGAGTACCCTGGATTCCAGAGCCTTTGACAGTAAATAATAAATGGAAACGTCGCGAAGGCTCTGGTTCAACGGGGAGATTCTTTGATTAAACCGTGCCAATCTCAAAACAGAATGAGTGGTTTTAGTACAGAATCAGGGAGATTCTTTGATTAAACTGTGCCAATCACAAAACAGAATGAGTACTTTAACCACTCATTCTGTTTTGTGATTGGCACGGTTTAATAAAATAATCTCCCCGTTGAACCAGAGCCTTCGCGACGTTTCAATTTATTATTTACTGTCGAAGGCTCTGGAATCCAGTGTGAACGAGTAAATGAGTTATGGATGTTCGGAATACATGTACCCTCATCTGAATATTCGTAACTTATCCGCACGTTCACATCCATCAGAAGAAGAAAATCGCACCTAAAATTGCAAGTGTAAACAAGCCTTTAGACTGTTAGTGTGTTCGGAATCATAACCCTTGCTATTTATTCGAAAATAGTATATGCTCGTGCTTGTGGTGCACTCGTTTTGCACATGTTTCATGGTACTGCACTGTAACCTTTCTTTGGCCGAATTTTATTGAATACACTTAAGACAGGGCAATATAATCATAATTTCTCACACACCGCTGGGAGCTGCTGCAGCGTGAGCTGCAAATTAAAATTAAATAGCCTTTATACGGAAAACATTTTCCGCTTCTTTCGTGCCTCAGCCAGCGGAAAATAACACTTCCAGGAATGTTAAGAGGCTTGTGCTGTGAATATATATGGACAAATAGGAACAGCATTGGTGTTGCCATGGCAACCATGTCAATTTATCTTTTGCACTGTATATTGTCTATTCTATGGTCTGTGAAAGAATTAAGAATTTTTTAATGATTTGGCATGCTCAGTCAATTTATTGAGCACGCAGTAAGTTGGGGAAGCTTGTGTGCAATGTTTTGGGAATGTGAAAATACAAAAAGTGTCCCACTTCCGCTTCTGTAGTTTGTTGTGATTTACTGTAATTTGTTCTGTTTTTCTGTAGCGATTACCAATTTATCGGCAAATTCTGTGATAAATAAAACTTAGTTTTCTCTATTTTTAAATTTGATAATTTGTATAGCAAAGGGAAATAATATATTTTCCATCAGTTTCATTGCATAAAAGTACGAAATTTAAATTTTATTGCGGTATTTCCAGATAAATCGGTAATCGCTACAGAAAAACAGAAGAAATTACAGTAAATCACAACATACTACAAAAGTGGAAATGGGACACTTTTTGTATTTTCACTGTAATCCAACCAGAATGCAAGTCCCACTTTCCAATCTTCCAGAGTTTAGCAAGGAGTTAATTAATTGTGCGAACAACCAAAAAACACTTGCAATGTGTACATGTTTGTCACTGTATATGTGGTCAGCAGTGGGCATGCCAATGTAGTGTGTGTGGGGTTGAATATTTGTGGTTGCGTGGATGATGCTAATTTGGGAGCAGTTTTCTGTAGGGTGTGTGCGCACATAACATCATGTAAAAAACTAATTGTAAGATAAGTAAACATCATGCAAACCTGGAATTATATAAATTAGCCTATACTTCTACAAAATTTATTGTTCTTCACTCGGACTCTATTGTGAGTATGCTAGTCTAACAAGTTAGTGTGCTTGGCATGTTACACCAATACAGTTTGCAAGAAATTTTTAATTGGATTATTCATATCTGAGAGTTTTTCAAAAGTTCATATTGAAAGCGAACATTTTGTCCTGTGACTTCTTCACAAAATTGTATGCCCTGACAAATTGCACTAATTAACACAGCACTATAAAATGCAAAATATAAATTTTATATTTAAAGAATCTAACTGTTACCTGCTGATCATGGTAAGAAGGAAGTAATTCATCATGGATTTATTTTTTTATGTGTAAGTTGTACAAATATTTTACATCTTTTGGGGTATGATGCATGCTGGACCGTTGTGTTCACACTGATTGTCCCAAGTTGTCAACAAGTATGGAACAGCTTGTCACCAGTTGTAACAACCTTGTTGATATTATCAGACTTGTGGCAAGGTTGTTCCAACAAGTCCGATACAGTCATGATATAACAATATTGTTACAACCTTGTGTCGTCAACCTTGTAACATTCTTGTTCATCATGACTGTATCAGGCTTGTTAGAACAACCTTGTCACAAGTCAGATAATGCCATCAAGCTTGTTGCAAGTTGTTAACAGCTTGTTCCAAACTTAATTGTTACAACAGCTTGTGAACAGACAATTTCAGGAGTTTCAAGGGCTACTATACTGAATAATTGTATTATGTTTCTTGACCTTAATTCTTGGAATATGTTGATTAATTATTCTTTTGTTAATATTCTTTTAAGGGTGATTGTAATAATTGTGATTCTTAAAGTGATATTCTGGGTATTTTACTTTTATTCTCGATATAAACGCAAGGAAATCCAAAGATTAATAACCCAAGTGCAAGGAGCTGTAAGTATTTCACATTTAAAAATTGAAAATATCCATGATCCTGAAATCTCAAAAAATAACAGATTAATTTAATGCATCGTGACGTTATGTACGTATATTAAAAATATGGAACTTAAGCACGCAACATTTTGGTCAACACAGTCATTAGATTGCTGAGATGTTTATGTCAGTTTTAAAGTTTTTTACTTCCTTAATAGACCTTTCCCCTTGTGAGTGAAATTTTGATCTAGATATGCCTGGATAGAAATTTCATCACAGCTTGAAAGAGCATCACAAAATTAGTAATATTCCGAAGTTTCGTTGCGAAATGTTGTAAAATGCGGATAATATAGCCTTGCGAAGTTTGCCGTTTTTCAGTCATTTTGCATTACATTCTAACATTTTGCATCAGTTTGATCATCTGATTATCAATTTCCCGTTTGTAATACCAAATGACTGAAAAACGGCAAACTTCGCAAGGCTATATATTATCCGCATTTTACAACATTTCGCAACGAAACTTCGGAATATTACTAATTTTGTGATGCTCTTTCAAGCTGTGATGAAATTTTTTTCCAGACTTGTCTCGATCAAAATTTCACTCAAAAGGGGAAAGGTCTATTCCTTCAATGAGCGCTATGATCAGTGCAAATCAATGCTGCCAAAATTTCCAGGGACGTCTATGGTGACAAAAACGTTGCCACCACAATACCCAGGATCATGTTTCCTAAACACGTCGAATAATTCAAACCTGAGGTTGAGCAATGACGAAATAGAATTCAAATCTCTACAGTAAATCTAATCAGATTACGTGCTTTCCTGTGGGACGTGCCGCGCACATGACTTATCTCTTACGCAAAATTTGATTTTGAAGGAATGTCTGAATAAGACTAATAGTAATATCTTAAAAACGCTAATGAGAATTTGCACCAAAAATCTCCTTTCTCAAGCAAAAGGTAAATCCTCGTACAGAGAAGCAAGTTTCCTTTGACAAGTTTTACTTGTTCGTGTGTATGGCGTATACACGTCTCGTCTTGACACAGAATAAGAAGATATAGCAGAAGTGTAACTTGAGTCGGTTCTTTTATTGTTTTACGTCCACGAAAATTTTAACTCGCTCACGCCAATCCACGCCATCCTGGCTAGTACAGTCGGAAGTTTTTATCAGGTTTTGGTACGTACAAAGTGCCGGTTGTACTAGCCAGGATGGCGTGATTGATGACGAATCGCTTGTAAAAACGCGGACAAATACTTGCTCGAGTTACACTTCTGCTGTACCTTCTTATTCTGTGGTCTTGACAAGGAACCTTGTTCAACAGGTCATGCCAGCTTTTCAACGAGGAAATTTGTTCAAGTGTGCAGCCCTCAAGGAAAACGTGACAAGTATTTGCGCAGTACTCACGTACGCCATTAAATCTCGTTTATTTTGAAATTCACTTTTGAGCGGTGTGGTGTCATACACAGTTTCATACACAGTCATACAGCTGTTGTTCATTTTGTTGGAAGGCTGTTTTGAACGAAAAATTTGGATATAGCTTCATGTCTCGCTGTTTATGTTAGGGTATATATAAGGATTATTAAGAAAGTTTCGGATTGATAGGGATCGTACACCTGCCTGAAAAATACAAAGAGAACGCTCAACCGAAAATTACCATAAAATTGTTTACGTAATTAAGGCCAAATAAAAAAAAATACTTGGTTAGCGTCACACTCTCACAAATTTTCAGAGGCGGGCGGGCGGATTTTTTTTTTAATTTTTAATTTTTTAATAGTATTTTTGGAGGGGATGGGGGACGGTTTTTCCACTATATCGGTGATATTTTTTGTACTGATGTTGCGAAGGCCGCCATTTTGCTTTAAGAACCTTGTATACCCAAGCCTACGCGCTCCTATCGATCAGTATATAGCGCGAAGGTCTGAGCATGAGAAAAATTTCAAATATTAAACTGTTTTAAGCTGTAAAACGAAGAGATTTACATAAAAAAAATAAAAAAAAATTCAGAGGCGGCAGAAAATCGAGAGGCGGGCGGTGACGCTAACCAAGTATTTTTTTTTATTTGGCCTAAATAGCGCGTGATGACGACCAACGTTATTTATTAAACACACTAATCTTTTCAACACACAGCTGATTTGCAAATGAGGTGTGCTAATATTACAAAACACAAATTTATATACTAAAACTTTATTTAAATATACTATATTAATTATGTCCAACATGCAGTAACTTATAATACTAACTAAACAATATCATTGACCAAGACAGCTAATTTCTAAAAACAATGCCAAAGGTCGAGGAAGAAAAGATACCGAGGTTCTTATCTCTTACGGTGTCTGATGCCATATTTGGGCCCCGCTGTAACTTTTCAAGAAAAAATCGTGCACATGAGCAAGTAAGCTCGTCACCAAATTTGTCAAGGAAAACTTTGTCGTTCTGTACGGGGCTTGCACATGCATGCATGTGGAAATAATTCAAATCTAATCAGATTATGTGATTTCCTGTGAGGCGTGCCCATGCCATACTAGGGGTGCGACTTATCTCTCACGGAGTTACGAGTATCTAAATTATTTTATCCAGTACGTCAATTTTAAAACAAGCAAAGCTAAGAGAGCGTCGTCCAAATTCTTTTGAAAATTTCAAAATGAAATATTTATGAAACTTATCAAAGTTCCTTGTAAAATAAAATTAAAAAAAAAAACCGAAAAATGAAAACATCTTGAAAACATGGACTAAAACAAGACGTAAATTTAAATGATTATCTGCAGAATCATCATCAGAACGACTGTTGGTTCTTTCTCGAGGAAAAAGAATAAGGCAAATGATTGATGCATCAACCTGCTTTAAGCTGACTATATATATAGTCAATCGAGATATATGGTTTAGAAACTCGACATATAATCTTTCAAGCCTCTATAATGAGCAACGATTTTATGTTGATACAGCTTCACCTTGCACAAATATTTTGAAATTGCGCTTATTAATATTTAAACAGCACAGATGAGCGATTTGACGAGATGATGCCATTGGTTGATTGCTTCATTTTATCACAAATTAATTGTCTTCACTATGGACGGATTTTGAAGGGGATGCGTGCACCTCTTCTGAGATCGTTTTGCACCTCCCCTGAGATTGTTTTACTCCTGCTATGAAAGGTCATGCACAGTGCATGCACCTGCCATTGAGAAAGGTTGAATGATCGATCAAAGTAAAAATTTGACAAATTGTTATGTGTTGCTAAGGGTCCATATTTTGTAAGAATTATTTTCGGCAAAATTCAAACAGTGATATAGCCATTCATCTCTGTGTCAAGTACCCTTTTAATGCAATGTTTCGAAAAGAAGTTTGTAGTAATGTAATGAACATTCGGATCTACATGTTTGCAGAAATTTTCAGTAATTTTTTTATGGAAAAGTTTCATAAAAAATATCCATTTTGCCTGTAGTAGGAAATTTGTTTTTAATCCTGTAAGACTGCATATGACTACTTCAGGATTTATCTTGTATGCCTTATCAACCTTAAAGATATATTGTTTCACATGATAACACTTTAAGACAGTCACAAAGACAATTTTTGTTATTTTTCCCTACTTACTGTAATCTTTTGCAGAAAGTTTTTTTAGCCATAAAGCCATGTTCTCGGAAAGAAAAAACGTTTTCCATCTCTGAGTCGAAATTCATGAATACTCTGATACATATGTACAGTACTGCATGCATGCATGCATACGTTACGTAGTTGACGTTAGGCCGTGCGTTCTAACCCCTGACATTCCGTAGCTAGACCGCTGCACATCCCCTAAAGTCCACCTCCCACCTTCACCATCCTGTCCATGAACAAGTTTGCATAAACATGAACTTAGAAAGGAATATGCTGAAATCGGTCGCAATTGTTGCACATGATTGTTTGTAAAGTTTGAAGTTTTGTTTCATTTTTCATCAAGGATTTAAATAATTGTCAATATGAAGAACAACCAGCCATGCCACAGCCAGCATTCATGTTTAGTACAGAAGGTCGAGCTAGGGGTCCATACCCCATGAACCTCCCTGCATATGCCGAGGAAGACCCTGGTAAGATAGAGTGCGCCCCGCCTCCCTATGTCCCGACTGGGGAAGAGGTCCATCCTATTGTTTATACAGAACAGTCAGAAGAGGCAAGCGACACACAACCACTTATAGATTCCAACCAAGAAGAAACTTAATTCGAAGTTTTCATTTCATCTCATGTACAATATACAGCAGATATTGCTGTGTTTATAGATTGATAGAACACCGCAGTCAAACGTCAAGCGCATGCGCGAGTCTACGAAAATGGCGGGGGAAATTCAAATGTCTGCAAAAATAATAGTACGGGAAAATCGTTTACTATACGAAAATGGGTGAATGTAGAAGGTAGGAAATTTCACCGCGCTTTCTTTGTAACAAGAAGTTATACTGAGTTTACCTTCTCGTCATTTTCTTTACACTTTTTTCTCCTCGTTCCGAGGGCTTCTCGGCTGGCTGACAACGCAGACAGCCTGGGAACGAGGATGTAGCAGTGAACTCTATGTAAACTGGAACAATAACTCGGGGGGGGGGATTGAAGCCAGTGCATTTTAGTTTTTCCGAGTTTTGAGCAGCAATACTTAACACTGAACATTGTGCTGTTGCTGTACACAGTATGAACCTGAAGCTATGGGAAAATTGTATTTGGTGTAGAAATTTCAAGACTTTAGCTAAAAGGGAAATATTTTAAAACTACAAAAATAATTGCCATTTTTTGGCCGAATGGCAGTTGTGTTTGTATTTTTAAAACATTTTTCTTTTCGCTGAAGTCTTGAAATTTCCACACCGAATAGCAATTTCAATAGCTTCAGTTTCATATATAGCCCAACGTTTGGGATCAAGTATTTCAGCTCAAAACTCAGAAAAACTATATTGTCTTCAGCGAATCGTTGGCTTTATCATAGGAGTTATCGTTCCAGTTTCGTGAAGAGCTTCGTGAAGACAATACTATTTCCAGTCCTTCAAGCAGTCAATTTGCGGACGTTTGAGCGTGGTGTTTAAAACATATAAATACTGTATATTCAAGGGTGAAGTCCATTCGATATGAAGCGGTTCACCTTTATATCATAGAATACATCATATATACAATGATTTACATGGGAAAGTTTTATCTTTCTTGAAAGATAGGATTTTTTTGTTTAGGGACGTTTTCATAAGTTTTGCCGTGAATTGAGGTGTATTAACTATTAGGGCGTGTCATGCATATGATGCAAATTACAGAGACGCCTAGTGCAATAGTCGAATACTTTTGATGTATTGAATGCAGTCAGTATATGCCACAAATAGTATAACCATGAGTATAACCAGCGAATGACAACCGCCCGATCGCGCACCTCGCGGGTGGCTGTTATTCGCAGGTCACAAATATAGGCGATGGTCATAGTGACATAATGTTGTTGATACCATCTTTATTGTGTACGGCAAACTCGCTTTTTAAAGTGGATTCACGGTTGTTGTCTTTCTGTATTAACCAGTGGCGGAAATTTCGCAAAGGCTAGAAACAGTCAAATTTTAGCGGAAATTGTAGTTTTCTCAGAAGTTCAGGAGCCTTTGCCCCACCACCCAAAAAGGTGAATTTCCGTCACTAATAACATTAAAGTTAACACACTTTTAGTACCCTAGTAAAGGCGGGTGTACGTTATCAAAGTTTCTGTGATCACAGTAGGAATTTTGCATAGGTCAACTCTGAGTTTTGAAGAATTTGTAAGAAATCTTTGAGGGAACTGACTCAGTGTTAAACAGCGAAAGAGTTCCCTCAAAGATAGCTTTAGTTACAAATTCTTTCATAACGTAGAATTTACCCATGATGCAAAATTCCTACGAGTTTGATAGTGTAAACTCAGGCTTAACGGTGACTTTGATACATCAAAAGTATGACAAAGATTGTATTTTGTTTATGCTATATTAACATGCATGAACGTAGTAACTGTTGTGTTTACTTTATGCTTCATCAGTGGGCAAGTAGAGAGGTTTGGATTTGACTTCCACTACCTTCGTACGCATCTGATTGGTTAATTGGATATATTAAACGCATCTGATTGGTTAATGATCGCTTCATGGTAGCGGTAGCCAAATCTGAACCTCTCTATTATAGAACAGAGGCCGATTATTCAAAGTTGGATTATCGCTAACCGTGGGTTAAATTTAACTCACTATTTTGATTGGATCAATAAAACTTTTATTTTCTAAAGGCGCTATAAGAGGAAATGCTCCTCTTATAGCGCCTTTAGAAAATGAAAGTTTTATTATTGATCCAGACAAGATTTCGTGGAAAAAATTTTCTAACTTTATAAACCAGCTGTGGGGAAATTTGCTTTGACGTTTTACGCTAACCAATGGCAATGATTAAACCAACTTTGGAACAACCGACCCCAGGAAGAGTATTGGTAAATCCTTGAGATGCCAGCTCGCGCTGCTCTGAATTGAGTATTTTCTGTTTTAAGACCACACAGCCCCTGAGATAAGCATTGTATACCGACATCTAATATATCAAATGTAGTGGAAACGAGTAATTTATATACCTTACTTTTCTAACTTCTTCTCAGCTAGTATTTGAGGTGCTTGAAATGAAAGCTTCACACTTAAGTAGTTTTTGGGCAAAAGAACTCTTAATCGTAACTCTTTAAAACCTTAAGTAACCAATTTGTATAAAGACTTTGATATAGTATAATAGTGTAGGAAATAACAACCACGATTTCTTGACGTATATATAATCTGTGCAATAAAACCTTTTTCTAATTGCAAACAATTAGAATACCACAATGCTTCTTAATTCTAATTTATACAGTCGAACATCCGTGCAGTCAAACGTCTCTTTTTACGGACACCTTTCTACTATGGACACTTTCCATTTGGTCGTTAGTTGTCGCTGGCACGACAAGCGGTAGATGCGAAATAGTCTAATATAATAATAGTCGTTTTGTGGGTTATATGCAAATCAGTCTTAATGATTGCAGAGTTTTTATTATTATTATTATTATTAAAACTTTATTTATACAGGATAAAACCTTATTCAGTATAACTAAATACTGCTATCACTAAGGGTCCTGTAATACTAAGTTTAAAAATCTATAGATAAAAATGCTAATACGCTATACTGTACATACAATACTAAACATATAATGATACTTAATGTCTAAAAACTGTTCATTTGCTTATTAAGAGCACTTTTAAAATGTACAATGGAGTTTATCTGGCGGACATGTAAAGGCAGTTTATTAAAAGCCATAGCTCCTTGGAAATAAAACCCTTTCCTGGCAACTTCCAATTTGACTTTCGGTAGTCGCAGACAATAATCGTTATTCCGGGTATTTTGTTGATGACTCATAATTTGAAAATAGTCATTAAATGGTTCACATGATAGACCATTTAAAGATTTAAAAACCACCATAACCGCGTTAAAAATGCGTGTCGAGTAAAAGTCACGTATATTTAAATCATCGTTTTCAATGCTTAATCCATTTGCAATAATTTTCTTTGCCCGATTTTCCAAATTGACAAACTTTGATAACCATGATCCAGGTAGATTTAAAGTTACCATATCACAATATGTCATTAATGGAACAATCATGGACTGATAAATCATACGAGCAGACTGGACTGTCAAAGAAGAACGTATCTTCTTGAGCATTTTCAGTTTACTTGATGTTTTCTTGAAGGTTTTGTGCAGATACTGGCCAAAGTTAAGCGTTGGGTCTAACTTCACACCGAGATATACATATGAAGTGGTACTTCTAATTACATCACTTCCAATTTGGATACACATAGATGAATTTCCATCCTTTGCAAGACGTTTTGCTGTACCAAAAACCATAGACTCCGACTTATCCTTTTTAAGATTAATCACCAACTGATTCCTCTGCAACCATTGTGCAACTGCATCCATGTCATCAGACAAAACAGCTTCAATATTTTTAATATCTTCATGAGAGAAATAGAGAACGGTGTCATCTGCATACATGATAACGTTAGAGTGTTTTAAAACCTTGGAAAGATCATCAATGTATATCAAAAACAGAAGAGGCCCCAGGATGGATCCTTGAGGAACGCCGTAAGAAACCGGATAATTATTCGATCTATAATTATCATAGATTACAACTTGTTGTCTATTTGATAAATAGTCTGTAAACCATTTAAGCTGGACACCACGAACACCAAGCATCTCCATCTTTTTAATTAAAACAGCATGGTCGACCGTGTCGAATGCCTTACGGAAGTCTATAAAAACTGCCCCCGTTAGCTTTCCACGGTCCATTTCTTTCCTGATTGAATCTGTGAAGTAGGTCACTGCAAGACCAGTTGAGTACTTAGATCTAAAACCAAACTGGGTAGGTGATAACAGACTCGAGTCTTCCAAAAATATTGCCAGCTGATCGTGAACCAGGCGCTCCGCAATTTTAGAGATAGCGGGTAGAATTGAGATTGGACGGTAGTTGTCCAACTCTGAGACGCTGCCAGATTTATAGACTGGTATAATTTTAGCGTTTTTCCATTGAGCAGGATATATCCCAGAAGACAATGATAGATTAATGATATAAGCTAGGGATGCAGCAATATACTGAGATGCATCCTTAATCATACTAGGAGGGACGTCATCGAGACCAGTTGCTTTTGTAAAGTTTTATTGGCACTCTATTAGATCTACCACGACAACTAACGACCAAATGGAAACTAGGCTTTACGGACAATTTTGCATGTTTCCACAGGCTACAAATGTTACAAAAAGTTAGCGTAACAACAATATATTAATTTCTAAAGGTCTCCTTTTTTATGATACACCCAAGGACGTCGCGAAGACATCAACATTGGGGGGAGGGGCGTCATGTTTTGACCAACTTTTCCTAGGATTTTGACCAAGTCGTAAACATTTTTCGGATTAATATTGTAGTCAAAAACATTTTTCCGGACTAATATAAGCATATTCAAAATTTTTCGAACAATATAAGCAATGCTTCCGATTTTTTCACCGCAAATGTAACTGAAGCTTTAAAATTGTTAAAAGTGCGAACCATTTCATTAATTTTAACATCTTCGACCATCTTATATCCCAAACTTTTACCAAATTTTTCCGAGTTTTACCTTCAATTTTAAGCAAATATCAGTTCCATTTTGACCAACTTTGGGCAAATATCAGTTCCATTTTGACCAACGTTTGAATTATTGGGGGTGTTACCCCCCCCCCCCCCATAGCGACGTCCCTGGATACACCCTGTAGTACAAAAGTGACAATGAAAAAGTACGTTAACAATGGCTTCCAGAGGCTCTTACGGAACAAGGCATATTTTGCAGTCCATGGTGAAATCTTTTTCAGGAACAAAGGAAAAGTTTTCAAATGCACACGAGGGTAGATGCAAACTCAACGTTCATTAGATGTCAAAGTCGAAGCGATTCTGGCGGCCAATCACTGGCCGTTTTATGAGTATGGGACTAAATGTTAGTCTGGTTAGGTTTATAATCAGGTAAACATAAATAGAGACCTCTGTCAGCAGGGAACCATAGGATCTGTCACACAAAAATTAGTTGCTTAGCTGAATAAGATGTATTGTGTAGTTTTTACTTTCTTCTGAAAATATTAATTTACAATTTTACGAATGACAATGTATTGTCTAAAATTCTCTATTTATAAACGATTTTTTCCTTTTTCATTTTTCGTTCTAGTTTTTTCTGTTGTTTAGGGTCCATTTCCTCCTGACTAGGCGCCTCGGCAAATATCCATGGTGCCAAAATATTTGTCCATAACATGTAGAATGCCCGGCCTGGTGCCTGAATAAAAAAATCAATCTCAAAGTTGAAAGTTGCTTGTTCTGATAACACCACCAAAGCCCTTACCGTACATATCTACTCTTTCAAATATATTGATTACCTACCAGTAACCATAGAATCCAAAAATAATGTGATATAATGCTCAACACTTGCACAATTGCGGTAAGTAAAATCACATCCTTTAAATGTCTGTGAAGAAAAGCAATAGAATATTACCAATTTGGTGCAGCACTAGTATTTACTTGATCATTAACCCAACTGGGGTGCCATGCAACTTAATGGGTTAAGCATGATGGGCCATAATCACTGATTAAAAATATTTTTTACTTACTCTGCAAATCCTGAAGTCATATTTAGATCGATGCCTCCATCTAGGAGTACCCCAGTATCAGAATATGTTGGTCTAGCCATACTTTCCATTGCCTTGTAGCAACTGCCATATACTGACGAACTAAAGACTAGTGTTAACTATTCAAAAGAAATTGAAATGGGTCATTCAAGAAGATCTTCTAAGGAAGTGGACACATTCTCCAACCCAGGGAGCTTAGTGGTCAGATTAAATTTTAATTTGACCCTGGGTTACAGAAGTTAAAAATTTGTGAAGGGGTCAGAAAAATTTGACAATTTTCAAAGGGTCACTGGACATTTCCAAGGGGGTCAAGAAAAGAAATGGAAAGATTTCTGAAGGGCTTCTTGTCATGGAACCTCATCAACAGGTATTTCCAAGTGGGATTAAAGTGGTCTAAAATCAGAGACCTCAAGGGCAGATTTTTTTAAAAGGAGGGGTTGAAAACTTTCTAGTAGGGTGCAAGCGGCACCACTCGGCGAGCTTCGGTAGGGGTTTATAGGCACATAGATTAGGCATTAGGGTTAAAGATTTTCGCACAAAATAGGAGGGGTGAAGCAAATTTTGGTGGGGTTGAACACTTTATAAGAGGAGTTAGAGAGATTCTGGGGGGGGGGGGGTTACCCCCCAGTGAATCCACCCATGAGAGACCATCCACAGGGATATTAAATGGAATGGCCTAATGGTGTTTACATTGAATGCACCTTGGTACAAGAAGCAACACTTACAATGGTAAACCATCCTACTGAACTGTACAACAACAGCAAACAAACAACAACATATATTGCCTACAAGTACAAAAATGTACAGGTTTTGGTTAGAGTAATTGTATATTAATGACTTCATACAGTAATACAGATTGATTTTATCCAAACTATAATTTTGAAATTCAAAATCTCTACCATGGAAGCTGCCATTATTTTTACATAGAATCTCAACGTGTCTTTATTTCCTTGCAATATTTCCTTTTTCCCTTTAGTCGGCTGTTTTCCTTTTGGAGGCTGAAAAAGTGAAATGTATTGATACTTGAAAACAATATTTTGAGTGTTTTGAAGAGGAAAAGATGGTTGAACGTATAATTATAGGTTTTTAAAAGAAAAAAAATTAAAATCAACCAAACTCACCGCCATCTTTGTTGTTGTTGTTCCCAACCTCTTTGATTGTTGCTCGGTCATATTTTAGTGAGGTGGACTCATGGGTGGATCTATGCAGTTTGGTACAGAGGTACAGCCAATCCTATATCCCAGGATATATCCTAACCTTGGGGTTCTAACTCTTAGCCTAATCCTAGTTAAAATTATCCACATTCTGGTCATAAATTCTAACCCTATACTTGTGACGTGATTGAAATCAACCTGCGAACTAGCCTGTTCCCATTGTTTATTTATATTATTAATTAGATAATACAATGTTTGAATTGCTAAAGGTGGAGTAATACGGGCAACAAAATTACTTCAACTGGCAACAAAATGTGATTTCTACGCATGTTAATTGAAAATGTTTACACATAAATTATGAAATCAGATTTTGTTGCAAGTTGCAGCAATTATGCTCGTATTACTCCAGGGCGGAAGGCGACGTCGCTCTCACTTATATTTATACACCATGCATTAATTAATGCGTATCAGAGGTCAATATAATATATTTGTAAGCATGGGCGTACCGGAAGGAAAAAATTAGGGGGGCGGAAAGAAAATTGCCCGACTTTTCGGGATTCTGCCCGACTAGTACCAAAAATTTTTTTCCGGAAAAATTATTTTGGCGACCCCCCCCCGTCGCCAAAAAAATTTCGGTCAGTGTACCATTTTAGGGGTCAAAAAATTTTTCCGGACAACCAATATTTTTCCGAACATAACACAAATTTTAGAAAAATCTAAAAATTTGCCAAAAAATTTACTTAATTTTAGACAAAATTCACTGAATTTGTCC